CCGTCCAAATAGCTTCTTAAATATTTAAATTTGTCGACGTCGGATATGAATTCATTTGAATGAATAGATGAATCAAATTGATCCCAGAATTCTTGCCACCGAATCCGATCGCCATCGAATTTCTTGATTTCCAATTTTGGTAGTTTTGGCATCAATCGCTGATTTGATTTTTGATTACTGGTTACTGATCGACTGTCAGCAACTTCGTTTGATCCGATGTTACTCAAAGTTGCGAGTTTGACTTCCAATTCGATGAGCGCAGTTTGTAGATCGTCGGCGATTTGTAATGATTCGGGGAGTTCATCTCTCAATTCATCCTCATCATTCGTTGTTTGTTGAATGATCTCGTCGTATTCGGCTAATAAATTTCTGTATTGTTCGAACTTTCCTCGGAGGACACCTAAAACGTCCACGTCGACCTCTTCTTTCGCTTTTTCTTCTTTTAATGTTCGACGTGTTTCTTCCACTTTTCCTCTGATGAACCTTCGTTTTGTACAGATCTGGAGCAAATTAGGCGTTTTCTTCTTTGGTGGCATTTCCTGAATTTAATTAAATAATGACGACTTACTCCCGGGTTACGGCACCAACTTTATCGATTCCTGACGGATTCGATAGGTAAACTCTAGTCTTTGCTGTTGAAATTTCCTACCAGAAAATAAAGAGACGTAAATTTTTTGTCTCTTAAAACACTACACAATTCTTTTGTATTTTTCGTTTTATTTCTAAATGCAAAAACGATAAGTAACAATGATCCAAAGGGTCTGGTTGATACAATCTTCTAAATACAAAATTCTTGTATTCAATCTAACAGTGTATATTGTTAGGCAAATTCGTCTTTTTATACTGTTCGAGGTGGCGTCTAGAAATTCTAGCCACTTCTGTTTGTTGTTTATTCTCTTTTTCCTCCTATACCTTGACCGTCTTCTATGAAATGTAAAAAAAAAACTTGTATAAAGCGCTGGAATGTGTACATACATAAAAAATGTTTCACAGTTCTCTCTTTATTTTAATACTTTTAGTTATCAAAATCGCGCTGGGCGCGACAACTTAGAAACTTTCCACGATCGAGATAATTAGCACGTGATTAAATATAGTGTGAAAGAGAAGAAAGGAATGTTATACATAGAGACATAGAACGCTTGCCGTCAATGGCATAAGCGCAGTAGAGACTAATTAAGATAATTAAAAGTGTTGCTATTCGCTGTAGAGGCGGATTGTTAGCTGCATTGTATGTCAGTCCTCCTGGTTATAAGTTCGTTTCTGTCTTACTTGCTTCTCACAAATGTTCACTTAGTTGGCATCTAGTTATCATTCTATTTATACTTCTGGTACCAGCAAAAATCCACAGAGTAACGCGAATTGACCGCACTAAACTAGACATTTTACAGGTGAGTGTCCTACTTCTAGTCTACTTCTTGTGATTCTGGTTTTATGATGTTGCTAAGTGCATGAGAAAATAATTTTCATATGATAAGAAGCACAGCGAAGAATTAGAATTTCAATTATGATAAAACTAGCGAAATATATCACAGTCCAAGTGCATTATAGTGATGGTAGTATAGACAACTCAGCATTCTGGAGTGGATTTAAATATCGCATCTTTCTTATATGGGAATATTTAACTACACCAACTTGATCCAGGAAAACTTCAAGAGCGCACAAAGAACGATAATCTAAAATTGAATAGCTTTCAATTAGTCATCTTGGGCTTGGGAAGCATTATAGGATGTGGTATATATGTACTAGGGCTGTGACAGTTACCATTATCGTTACAGTAACTGAAATTGCTGGTCGGTTACCGTTACTTGTACGGTAACTGCTTATCCGTTACCGTTACCAGGAACGGGAACTGTTCAGCAGTTACCGTTACCGGGTAACGGTGGTAACGGTAACTGGTAACTGTCACAGCCCTAATATGTAC